ATTTTATTTTCTGTATTTCCCTTGAAAATGAATTGTTCAAATACCAGATGAAGTGATGATAAAAGGAGCCTGAATTGGGAATGACTGACTGTAAGTGAGGTCTCTAGGACAGAGTGTTATAGAAGTACAACACTCCCTGTATTTCCAGTTGGACCAGTCTAAAGGCATCAGAACTCATATGATTTTTTAAAAGACAAACCAAAGAATTTTACTTTGGTTCTAAGCAGGCCTACTCTCCACAACATTGACTAAATCTTTAACCTAATTCTGCTGCATCTCATTCTGCCTTGTTTTAGACGGTACTGAAGAGGCCTTTGTCCTTGTAATCATTTTAGCTCATAAAAGTCAATGTCCAACTGCAGCAAGGGCTGCCTACCTGAGGCCTTGAGCAATAAAACCATCATCAGCAATGATCATGCTTACAGATGGTCCAGCTCAGAAAATCATTAATGCATTTTTATGTATGATTTTAAAAAAAACTAGAAAATTTAGTGGTTTCTAAAAAGTCACTAAATATTCATTTTAGGAGAAAGAAACTTTGAGAAAACCTTAAAGATCGTGGTCTTGAAGTGAGTAGATTAGTGTGTTCATCTGACTCCATTCAGCCAAGTTACAGACAATTCTCCTGATCAGAAAAAAGTGAACAGGGGCATGAGAGTTGGGGCTTAGACAAATGATACTTCACAGTGAAGGCCTCTTTGACTTCCCATCTTCTATTGTTCACCTTGAGGCAAACTGTGGAAAACAGAATTTCTCATCTCTAGGTCATAGAAACCAGAAACCCTTATTCCCGAAGCCAACCACAAAGCCTACAAATATTACTCTAACTCTGCTCTGCCTTATTTAATAATAAGTCATAAGCCCCACAACCCCCACTTTAGAAAAGGTCCTGTCCCACACTTGGGAGGAAGAAATGCTACAACTAAAGTGCCAAAAGAATATGAAAAACAGTCTTACCAATTTTCCCTCCCTTAGTTTGTTACTATGAGATCGTATCTTTTTTTGTGCAATCATATTGCTGCATGGTGGTCCGTACTTCAACTAACCTAAGCATAAAATGTTATAAGATGTTGGCCATAGCCATTTATGTTGGGCAGGAAGGGATCATCCCATCTTAACCCCACACAATCACATCTGGAAGGTCACTACTGAAGCTATTTGATGTACAACAATCAATTTGTCACCTATCATTTTGTTATCTTACTCTAGCTCTTGAAGTCTGAGTAATATAACATCCTGATCATGAGCCTGTTTTTTTAATTCAGAAACTGCTAGGAAGTATTGCACCTGAGATCACTATTTGGAAAGGACCAAAGAACAACCATTTGTTAGAATGGAGCACAGACGTGGCAGTTTGGTTTCAGGAGGAAATCTGTCATTCTCTCAAGTATTCATTATGCTATTTTTCAACTTTCATGCAAACTTTTCTATCGGTCATTTGTATTAAAGTTATAACATGCAAGCCAACCATTCTATCCTGCACAGAATAGAAATGGAGGAATAAGTACCGTATATGTGTTATACTTTGTGTGAAATTAAATTGCCTGTTTCAGTATTTTTGTTTCCTTGGGATAGCTTGACATCTATTTTTCTTTTCACTTATTTCTTACTATTCCATTAGATGAAATGCTTTGTGTCATAACTGGTCCATAGTGAAAGGTTAATAAGTATCCTCCCTGGACTCAATATATTTTTTCTCTTTCGTTATGATATCGACACACAAAAAGTGCAGAGAACATACATTTATACTTAATAAACAATTAGACTGTGAAGACCTGTGGAATCTCAACAGGACCAAGAAACTGTACATTGCTGACATTCCAAAAACCCATATCAATCACAAAGATCACACACTTGTCAGAGGTAACTGCTACTCCAACTTCTATGATTCTCTTGACTTTTCTCTCTTCTAAAATGTGCAATCTATTGGCTTCTTAGGATAGACAGATAGATAGGTAGATAGATAGATAGATAGATAGATAGATAGATAGATAGATAGATAGAATCTATATATTCTTATATCCTAATCAACATCATTTAGTTTTTCCTCTTCCTGTGAGTTATAAGTGGAATTACATTGTATGCCCAATTTTACACTTGAGCGGTCATTTACCACATTAGTTGTTGTCTCCACTGCCTGGCATTCCAGGATATGTAGATATGATGCACAGTTTCAATCCATTCTCCTACTCCCAGATATCTGAGTGTAGAAGTAACTTTTCCATTTCTAGGATAAAATATCCAACACTCACACAACTTAAAGGAAAAGAGGTTAATATTGGCTCACAGTTTTTAGAAAATTCAGTCTATAGTTAGCTGGCTCAAAGGCAAAAGGAGTGTGGAGGAAAGGCCTGGTGGGAGGAAAACTGTTCAACCCATGGCAGTCAGGAAGCAGAGTGAGAAGGGAGGGCCGGGGACAAGAGCCCGCCATTCCAGCTCGTGTCTGCAGTGACCTCCAGCCAGGCCCCACCTCCTGACAGCACTTTCAGTTATGAACTCATCAAAAGGTGAATCCACTAATGAGTACAGCTCCACCATGCTCTAATCACCCTGCAGACACCTTAGAACTCTGTGAGATATTTTAGTCTAACGCATTATAGTAAGTGTTTTCTAGGTTCTGGTTTTTGTCAACAATGGTGCCACGCGTGCTGTCTATGCCTCTGAACACACGTGCTCATGAGCGTCTCCAATGTGGAGCAATGTTGATGACTGGATATGCTGCTGATCATCAACTTCCAACTTCGGTAACATGAATCCTTTGGTTTTGTCAAAGTAGTTCTCTCAGTGTATAGTCCTACCGCTAGTGAATGAGAATTCCTATTGTTCCACATCCTCACCAACACTTCCTAATTTCTGTCATTGGGAACAGATTAGAGTGATATCTCTTTGTGCTCTTTCATTTTTTTTCTCCTTGAGGTTTAATTTATAAAACTCTGATTACTACTGGGTTTGGAAAGCCCTTTCTATGTTTATTGCCCTGAGTCCAGGATCTTTAAAATTTAAATAGGAATTCTATTACTTGGTTTTCAGTGTTCTGGTATTAATCATACTGAACGTTTCATGTCATACCGATAAGTATTGGGGCAGCAAAAGAAATACATTCACTGAAAATCAATTTAAAGCTATAGATGTCATGCATTTTGTCCTGTTCAAGCTTCTAAATATCTACCGGGTCTGATGCTGTTATCAGTACTTTACAAATAAGGAAATGGAGACTCAGGGTTTATCAAATTTACCCTAAAGCAAACACTCTGCTTTTTCAAGTATAATAAAGCCACAGAACTGAACTCCACCCAGGCTTGTGTGTTTCTACACACAAAGATTGCGAAATCTTTCCAGGAATCATATTATCTCCAAAAAAAATAGCCTGTGCAGTGGCAAAATAATGTTTATTGTTCTTTGGTAATTATTGTTACCAAAAACTATATCAAGAGAGGGTCAATGGTAGCCTGGTTAATATGACTAATCAAACATTGCATCCCTAGGCCAGTTTTTTCTTTAATAGTCCAAAATCCAGATCAAATATTTAAACAAAGGAAGACATCTTTGATATTTAGAAGGATTTCCTTTGTGGGAGTAATTTGTGGCACACTTTAGTCACACGTCTCATTTTCAGCCTGTGACAAGCAGTGGTGAAATGATTAGCACTCTACCAATTTACAGAGCTATAGAATATCAAACGACAGCCAGAAGTAAAAGTAACAAAAGACAGGAGTGAGACAAACTATGTTCTAACAGAGACAGCTTATATAGGTAGTCAAGTTATTAGGACATGCAACAAATTCAAACAATAGGAACATTAAAATTAATTTAAACCCAATTAAAAGATAAACCTCTAAAAATGTATAAATTAATGATACTCTCCCCAACTCTAAAGGTCTAGTAAGACACCTGTAAGTTCTGATATTGAAATAATTTTCAAATAATAAAATTAACCAGAAACAAAGACTTAGGTATGACACGGCCCAGAATGCTAAGAATAATCTACAGGGTGAGAGTAGCATTCTGTGTGTGACTCTCCTCCTCCTCCTCCTCCTCTCCAGTACCTTTTCTTTGCAGTTCTGAGGATGGAATCCCGGGTCTTGTGCATGCTAGGCAATCATTCTACCATCCGACTATGTCCCAAGTCCTTTCTCTCTAGCATCTTTACAAAATGACCTATCAATGAAGTCTTCCCAGTGACAGGACACATTGGTAGTATGTATCTTTTTCACCAACAACTTTAAACTTTGTGTCTTTAGATGTAAGACTCACATTTATCCTACCCCATGAAAACAGTCAAAACAATTTTATTACCTAGTTCTACACACGTCACACATAATCTGACATTCATTATTTTTTACTATACTTCAACAGACAATTGCTTGCTAGCAGAAGTGCTAGCATGGCATGTACTTTTTAGTTGTCAATATATCACCGTCCTTTCCTGAGCCACCAATTGGCTACAGAGATTTAAAAGTTCAGTTATTAAAGAACTTAAATGATTTTAACCCCTTTAAATTTGGAAACCCTTTAAATCTCATTATCTCTGCAGCCACTTCTAATCTGAAAATCAGCTTGGCCTTTTCTAGTTCCAGGTTTAAGGATTACAGAGTTTTAAGGCACATGAATGCCTTTCTGAAGTTCTATAAAGAGCTGGCCCCCACCAGTTGACCTACAGGAAATAAAGCCAGCCAGTTCCCCAGCTGGTAGGTGCTGATCAGAATTTCTAAATAGAAAGATATGTACATTATGCCACAAACCACCAGGAAAACAAGTAATTGCTTCCTGGACTCCATATGGAGCCAGGGAATTGGAAGATTTTATGTAGGAGGGGCAGCAGATTTTAGACATGTGAGTCTGTGAGTGTCTAAGATGAGAAAACAGAAGATGCTGTTGAGACCCAAAGAAGCTCTCCGGACAGAGGGAGTAATTCTGCAAGTTGAAGGCCATCTTGTTCCTAAGGCAAAGCTGTTACCATGGATACACTCAGAATCCTAGGTAACCGTCTGAGGTCTTACCTCTTGTGTCCTCACATTGACGTATCCATAGTGAGTTCGAAGGGGCCGCCTGTACGTATAGGAGAATGGTATCCACTTTGTTCCAGGTTGTCCAAAGCAGTTTAGTAGCAATGGGAAATTCACTTCGTTTACAAGGCGCACAACCAGCAGGAAGAGGAAGGCTGCTATGAAGCTCACCGCAATCACAGATTTTCTCTACAAACATTAAAAGAAAAGAACGACTTTCAACTGAGAGCAGTCACAGAGGGTAGGTTCTTTTATTCCTCTCTCTTTTTCCTTCACAGAAGGAAAGGATTTGTCATTTAGGATATTTCACTTGGAGACAGAAAATAATAATTTGGTGACCAGGCTGCCGTTGTGTGTTGGGCCTCCTGAGAACTGGAAAAGCAGTAATCTTGAACTTTTCTACTCTGTCTCTACCCTTCCTTCCTCCTTTGTTTTCCTTGCAATTCCTATTCAGTTTGGAAAACCCAAGTAAGATACTCCCAAGGATGGGAAACCATTCCAAATTACTCAATCTCCTCCCCATCATGACCCTTTCATCCCCAACCCTTTCTCCCTAATGGAGGTAAGAGGGCTTATCACTCCCAAACTTGACTTTGAATACATATCTATTATACTTTTTCACCGTGTAATTATTTATGTGATTTCTCCTCCATGAAATTGTGAGTTCCTGAGGAACTGGGATTCTAGTATGTATTGAGTCATAGTTATTCTCTGTATCCCAAGATACAGAATACACTACCTTACACAATACAAGAGATACACAACCTTACACAGTACAAGCACTCAATAAACGTTTGAGTGAAATAAATGAATGAATGTATTTCGCACATTCTTATACAGTCTCATTATCACTCATGCTATTTTTATGTCTAGCAACTTTGACAGGCAGGAAAATCTACCTGTGCTAAAGAATGTACAAAAGTAATATTCAAAATGCTACCAACAGAAAAAGGAAAAATTTGATACCAAGCAACATAAGAACATTTCCCTAAATGTGCTGCTATGAAGTGAAAGCAGGAGCAACTTCATCTGATTGGGGTGGGAGCAAGTAAAGAGGTACTTGAGATTGAACTTGATAAAATGCATGAATTTTAGACAGCATCAATGTATGAGCAGAACTAACTTTCTAGTTAGAATAAAGAGACAAGTGAGGAAAAGCTAGAAGCATAAGTGATGTGTTGCCCAGATACCAAGCTAAGAAGTCTCTACCAAGTTTCCTAGGCGATGGAAAGTCGAAACCATCATTTGCTTTTTTGTTTGTTTCGTTCTGTTAAAGGTGGCTGTTATAAATTATAACTGAACATCAGTATTAAAGATGTGCTGTAGCCAGAAGAGAATAAAGGTGAGTGGTAACTAGTTAGAAGACTAATACAATTGCTTGGGGCAGAGGTAATGAGGACAGAAACTGTAGTGGAAAAAGGTGGAGAAAGACAGGAGAGGTTAAAAGAATAGAACCAGGCTACCTAAGGTACCTAAGCAGCAGACAACGAAATTCAGAGATGATGGAGACCTTGAGCCCAAGTGGCTGCCATCATCCTGGTCTTAAAAGGAAAACCAGAGTAGTCCAAGTAGGAATTTATCAGTGCAAAGCTCTTGCTTTCTAGGCTGCTGCTTTTCAGGAACTGGCCGGTCATCCTAGTGGAGCCATCCTGGAGACAGGAGGAAGGTCATGAGCAAGAAGAAGGAGCAACGCTGAGCAGCCCTGCCTCAAGGGCAGAGGGAAGACCCAGTGAAGTGCTCTTTCGTGAAGCTGTGCTTGACTGCCGAGTTCTCTTCACACTGAAGGAGAGCCAGGCAACTTTCTGAAAATAACTGAACGCTTGTGGTTCTGTTGTGTTTTGTGCTTGCCAACATGTTTCTGGTAGAATTAGCTTCATTTTCTTCCTCAGGGAATCTCCCAAGGAAGAAAAGGAACTCAAAGATGGTCCCTGTTTCTTCCCTAGACTGGGACCACAGCCTCTGTCGGGCAGTAGGACCAGAATCCATGTCAGAGACACCCAAAGAAAGTCTTCATCCTCACTCCTGAAATTTGTAAAACGCACATTCCTCCATCTAGCCGGCCTAATTTCCTAATCACCCGAAAGTCCCTTGAGCTCTGCCTTCTCAGAACACCTTATCTCACCACTAACTACCACAACCTTCCCTCATTTAACCTTCTAATCATGAAAAACCATTTTAATTTGCTCCTCTGTGGGATCATTATGTCCACAACACTGCAATGTGTCAAGGTAACAGCTTAAATAACGTGATGGATCTTACAAGTTTAAAGGGACACAGACCAGACAGAGGGCTAAATAAAAGCAAAAAGGCTAGTCACCCATTAAGCAAACAGTAAGGACCTCTTTCTTTTTTGCTCACCACCTAGTCACTTGTTACAAAACAGCAGCTTGCTTTGAAGGAGACCCAGATGGGTCCCATGCTTTTGTCTCCAGAGCCCAGCACAGCTCTGGTTTTTAGTTGCTTCAATGCTTTGCATGGCTGGGGGTTTGGGGACAAAGGCATGGAGAGCCTTTCTGAACCTACTGGTGGCGTGTAGTGACACATACATAATGCATACATGAGAGGAATGTAAATCAACCATTTTGAGAGAAACTTCAAAACAGAATGAAAGCACGGTTGGAAACCCTGCTCCCTAGTAATCCATGTCTGCCTCCTACATTCCATCAAAGGGAACCAAGTAGTGAGCACAGAGGGTGGGGAGTGGCTGAGATGGAAGCCAGGCACTGGGCCCCCTGTACCCCTTGCAGAGCTGCGTTCTGCAGTGGGCAGTGCTGCTACTTTCCCAGCTTAGACCTGCTGCCACACTTCTATTGCACTGCCTGGATCTGACTCTTTGCCCTTTTTCATGTCTCTATATTCTTGCTTAGTGTGAGCACAGTCTCACCGTGCTAATGATACCTTGAAATTTCACTAGAAAAGATAAAACTTTAGGCTGGCATATAGCCCAGTGGTAGAGTGCTTGTCTCATATGGACAAGGCCTTGAGTTTAACCCCCAGGGTTTGGAGTGGGAATATATATATATAACTTTGAGTACATTCTATGTACCACATGGTGGCAAGGACAACAGAACTCAATATAAATGTGCATTCTCCTCGTAGTCACTTCTGCCGGATTATAACCCTTCACAAGTTAGTGCAGCCAGCAGGACATAAAGAAGTATAATACCCCGTGTAAAATGAAGCTATGGATCTATGGGATTCCAGAGCAAGGGTGGGTCTGGGGATGTAGGGGGCATGATTTTGGGAATGTCAGTCTGAGTGAGGGGAGTTCGTAAAATGAAGATGGGAAACACATTGCAGGCAGGAGAAAGAGCAATGTGACCAGCCATAAAATGATCAGGAACGTTCACATCATTTGGTAAAAAGGGACTGTGTAGTAGGAAATGATGCTAGACAGAGTTCAAATCATAAAACAAAACTAATCAGCCAAATACACGGAGATGCAATTATCTATCCAACCTACTTTACATTAGGGCAGTCAAAGGAAAAATGCTTCAAAGTGCTATGTTTCATCATTCTAAAATACTGTTCACTTTCTTATCAAGTGAAAAATGTATCAATCCCTTCATTTTATTTGAAATTGCCATTCAACACATCACATTGTCTTGTTTTCTGCTGTTTGACTTATCCCATCAACTAATTTGTGCCATTAGTGGCTTGTTCTAGTAACAGTTTTGAATCCCTCAAAATTCAGAAAACGGTACGACTATCTGTTTTGCACTTATGTTTCAAGTCTAACAATTTTTAATGGAAGTGATCACTGCAGGCTTCGCTGAAGTAGTCAAAGTATCCTTTAGACTCAACAGCGACCATTAGGTTAGAGAAAACGACAGCGACTCCAGGTGAATTTATAATGCATAAGTCTCGGCTCAACAAATTTTTCATACTGCAAAAAAGCAGACTTACACTTATTTAATAAACAGTCATTCTCCTAAGACCAGAAGCATGAACATTGTGATGGTACAAAATACAAAATACAGTCTGGACACAGAGAGTACTTGACAAACAAGGTATTATTGTATAACTGATAATTGTTAGGTCCTTGATGAATAATAGTCAGACTATGCATTCCTTGGCCCATGTAACGTGCACAATAGAACTAGAGGAATCTCCTTCCCAAATATTCCAAGCAGCTGCAAACCCTTGAACTGTTCACTGCAACTTATCCGGAACAGCTCTGGAAGAATGTCACTGTGCCCAGATAGATCTGATGAATTGCTTTAAGGAAAGCTTTCTCCTTCTTCGATCTTCATTTGGGGCAAATCTGAATGGGCCTGTAACAGCTGAGACATTTAGAATCTAATCCCCTCTGTGATGCAAAAATATGCATCAAAAATGTGACATCCCAGTTGTGTGCTCTTTAGAGTTAGAACGTAACTTATCAGACTTTGTAGCAGGAATGCCTATTTCAAAATAAGAGCCACAGAGAATACATGATATGGGAAGAAAACAAAATTGCAGTGATTTGGACTCAGAAATTTTGCAAGCCATATTAATTTACATAAGCTTTTCTTCTTTCTAAAACAGAATTAGTCTTTAGCCACAGAATAAAGACATTAACTATGAATCCGGTCTGTCATTAGATTATTTTTGTTTTTTCATAATTGATAAGCAACAGCATAAAGGTGTGTCTTTCCATTTAAATGACACTACATAATGAGTTTAAGTAATTGCTTACAAGGGTAAATGGTGTCAACTTTTATCCATATACTGTCATTTATCCAATAATATAGTTGAAATACAGTGTCCACTGGACATATTCATATCAGTGTCAATCACCTTATGCACTAATGGGCTCCTACTCATTGCTTATTTGTAATCTTCTCACATATCAGTTCTTCTCTCATACGAGAAATCACATAATCAATATAGATCTACTGTGTGGCATTGGCCAAACTTCAACTTTGGTACTTCCTGAGTTGTATAATTAATCTGCTTGCTATCTATACAAAGATTAGTTAACAAAGCTCAGAGTATATAAATAAAATATTCATTTGTTTTGTTTCAGCTGTTGACTCAACAGTTTGTTTGGATCCTGCTTATTAAACTATAACCGGGGAAAAGCACACTCATTTTTTTGTGGGGCAGTGGTCAGCAGAGGAAAGTAACAGAAAAGTGAGCAGTCTTGGTGGGTCCAGTCTAGGAGTACCTTACCAGGGCTGGTTTGGGCAGAAGAACTGGCAATGGAA